TTGTTTAAATTATTAATACCCTCTGAGAAATAATAATTAGTATGCCGATATCAATTGCCAATATCAATCATTTTAATGAACTTTAAGATATCATAGGATTTCACAAGTTATTTTTTTTATAAAGTTTTTCAAAATTCTTTTACAAAATTCAATAATGAAATGCATTTAGAATGAAATATTCATAAGGAAATTTTGAATAAACAAAATTAATCGTAATGTTATAATAATTAATGATAAAAATTAACAATAATAATAAATTAATAGCAATAATGAATTAATAGTAATAATAGTAATAATAATGATAATAATAACAACAATAATTATAACAACATTATCTAATTAAAATAATATTAACGATAATAATAACGGTAATAATGGTAAAGGTAAAAATGGTAATAGTGAGAATGATAATGCCAATATTGCCATAATATAATAATGATAAGAATGCAATAATAATAATCTTGATGACAACAGAAGTGACTGGTAACAATGATAATAGATAGTAATTTTAATAATAATGAGTGCAATAATAATAACAATAAAAATATTTATCATAGTGAAGTATGAATTACATCATTCTTCTATATTTTCACAACTTCTATATTTTTAATATTTGTTAAATTTAGAACCATTTTTGGATTTTTTTTTATAAACTCCAAAACGATTTAGAAAAATTATGCTTACAGTTTAAGACAATTTGATTTGTTTGGTTGTTACATGTGACGATGATTTCAATTTATTTATAAAATATAAAACTTTTTTTTTCATTTGAAAGATTAAAAATTTCAGTGACTGCGTTTTGCATAGAAAATTTATTCATTTTTCTGGACGTTTTGAGGTAAATCCAAAATAATTTATTGATAATTTTTAAACTAAATGAGTTTAACAAATGGAAGCCTCAAAAGTATAGAAGTGGGCAGTGGTTTAGAATATCGTGTTGAGGGTATGGCTTTTGCTCTCGACAGGAATAAACCTTCTAACAGCTCTCACCATTACTAGTTAGAGTGGCTCCGCTGGCTACAAGAATAAGACTTCTCCAAGCTGCTCCGTCCGACGCCATCGTTAGTAGTAATAAAAGCCATTCCTTGTTCCATCGTCTGAGTCCATATATTGCTGGTCCACCTATACGTTCAAAATTTTTCCTGTCTGTATCAGTCCAGGTTTTGTTTGCTCCATTTTGCTTTTGATGCTAACCATCACAGAATTCGGCAAGTAGCGAAATATGCGTTAACTCCGTGGTGGGCGAGAAGAATGTGCCCTAACCAGAGAAAGCAATGCGATATGATAATTATTAATTATTAATACGGATTTATTTGAGAATATGCGATTTTATACCTGCTCGATAAACATGTAAAATGTATTTGAGTGCTCAAAGACTGATACCTTCTTAATATCTTTTGGCATCATTGGCCATATTTCGCAGCCATATAGCAAGATTGAATGAATCGCGGCTATATAGATGCGGATTTTTGTCTTCATGGTGATTTCGCGACAATTCCATAAAGATTTCATTTAGTGGAAAAACACAATTATAGCTGTCGTGATCCGGGTTACAATTTCATCCTTTGCCTGGCCATTTGGGATTAGAGTGGACCTGAGGAGTCGGGAATTTCCTTAACCGGCAATGAATTGATAAAATAGGTATTTTATCAGCTTCTTGCGTATAAGACGAAAACATTTCTTTATTTACATTGATTTAGAATACAATTCTCGCTGCAGTTTTTGCTTATTGTTTAGCAGCTCATTATGACTATCAGCAAAAAGGACTACATCATCAGCGTATTCAAGGTTTTTGATCCTGTGCTCTGGACTGATTTATATAATCCAATCTATCGTATAGTTGAATACTGTAGAGGAAAAGGATACATCCTTGATGGATTGATAGCAATTTTTATTTCGAAAAAGTCAGTCAGTTCTTCATATACAAAGATCAAGGTATGCTGATAGAATGCCTTAATGAATCGAATGATCTTCTCCAGAATGCCTTAATGAATCGAATGATCTTCTCCGGGACCGTCCATATTCCATCATTTTTCAGAGTCATTTTGTAGCGTAAAAATCGTAGCACAACTGCATCCCTTTCTGAATTCAGCCTGGAGGACTCATTCTGCTATCTCTTGTTTACCCAGATGTCTAGTAGGCTGATTCCTCCGTATTTGTTGCAGTAGTCCTGTCACCTTTCTTAGGAATTGCTTTATTCCATTCTTCTGTTATTATTTCCTTTATTTCCATACCAGATAGTACATTTGAAGGTGAGTTATGAACAATGGTGGGACAATCTCCGGCAGTCTTTTGTTGGTCTTAAGCTTATGGATTACAGAGGTTATTTCCTCTTCTGTTGACAGTCCAATCGTATGGCTCGACAAACGAATTATCCAGAATAACATATGGCGCATCGTGGTTAAGTTTGGTCTCTTTCCATCTTGTGAGGTGATCCTTAATAGGCGCCCATTAATATCTCGTATTATTTCGTTATAATTGCTTTGCGAAGAAGGCGAAATAGTTTCCCATTACCGAACCGGCGTCTCCATTCTCGAGACCATATCGCTCCAATAGCGATTTCTGACCTGCTGTATTGTTGTCGTTGTTCGAATTCTTCGAAGTACCTGACAATCAGGATCTTCTGATATTGCTTTGGCAGTTGGACAGTTGCGCATCGTGGTTATGTCTTGGATACCCAGCTAACGCATTACTAATATATTTTAGTGTAGAAGTGGTTGACTTGTCTTTAATTGGGACCAGTATTCATCTGCTGTTCCAGAGATGTCTTTACATTCATTTCACTGAAATGTTTTATCGTTTGTAATATGCTTATTGTTCCATTGTTGAAATATTTTTGGGTACATTGTTTCTTAAGAGTTGCCAATTTTATGCGAATCTTCGCTTGAATTGATCCGTGATGATTACCAGTAGTATAAAATTCTTCCATCCAATATAGTCAATCTGATTGGAATATTTCTTATCTGGAGAGTTCTAGATGCTTCGATGCCCGAAGCATATATTAGTTACAAAGAGCTCATGCTATTCGACAAAACGAAGGCAGTGTTCTCCATTGGCGCACTCGATCCCGATGCCATATATGCCAGTTACCGAGTTCATCATAACCCGCGCGTATTCCAGTCTCCTCCGATTATGACCATTTCTCTCTCGATAAAACTATAATTAATAGTTGAAACTCTGCATAGAATTTATCCTTGTCACTGTCATCCGCGCATAAAATTGGGGTATATACACTAATGACCGAAATATTACAAAATTTTCCTTTGCGCTTAGGTCATATGGTCATTTACTGGCTTCCACTCAATCAGAGAGGATCGAGGCTTTTCAAATATGATAATCGTTACGCCATTTGAGCTCGAGTTATCCGAGACACTACAGTGATATAGCCAATATCTTTTCTCGGAAGAAGGTTTAATTACTCGGGAGCGGACATGAGGAAGACGGCCCCCTCGGAGGAGACTGTATTTAGAAAGAATGTGGACCGTAATCGCTTGGCTTGCAACGTCCATAAGTGTTCTGACATTCTAAGCAACTATAGTCAGCAGCTTGCCGCGTTTACAAAGTTCTAACGGATAGGTTCTCGTCTCGGTTGGGTTCTGAGAAAGCATCCTCTTCGTATCATATCTTAGCCTCAAGGTTTGCAATTATTTTATTAGGGCCGGACGATAGATTTATCGCATGTACCATTGGGCATGGAAGATCGGAAGAGATGAGGAAACCGCGTCAAAGAGATCTGACCCTTTCACCATAGAATTACTTGGGAAAAAAGATACGGTTCCAGAATCACCCAGGTTTTTGATACCATGGCAGATTTACTGCTGTCAAAGACAAAATAAAGATAATTAAATTTAAAAAGAAGTATTTTAAAGATAATTAAAAGAATAAAATTTTAAAGAAATGTTATAGATTTAAAAAAAAGCTTATTAGATTCGCAAAGGATAATATTATATATAATACTAATAATGGTAATAGTAAATAAAATAAAAAAAAATTGCAAAATAATGATAGTAAATTAATAAATTATTAAAGCACCGTTTCATTGATTTACAAGGCATAATAAACGTATTAAAACATCCTAATAATATTGGAGGCGTATATTTCTATCGCCAAGCAAAAATGTTCAATCGTTTTGTTAGGCAGTGGAGCGAATCTATTTAAAAGTGGTGAGACACCTAATTTAATTTAAGTTATCCACCGAATTATTAAGCGTATGAACTAAAACATCATGATTCTGAGGCTTTATTCAACTCGAAAGATATACTCGAATGATTCTGTAACGTATGGAAAATGAATAAATACAAATAATGTGTATATCAGTGGCATTGATAACGTTTATGTATAGTGAGTAACAGCTAATCGCAGGAAAGCGCTAAAGTTTTTCCATTAAGAGTATCTATATAATTCCCAGTACCGACAATAAATGATTGTCGTAAACTTATATAACTTTCAAATTCCAAATATCGAGGGACCTCAAGGATAGCATGAATTCATAGCCAGCCTCAAAAATATTTTGCTTTGTCTAAGACCGAACAATAATGAATTCATTCTCTGCTGGCTAAATGGAATGGATTACCATAATAATTAAAATTATCGCACGAATTAATAAAAAGAAAAATAAAAAATAAAAGAAAAAATAATTTCCTAGAAGATTTGCGGTATTTATCAAATGCCATTGCTGCAGAATTGATAAATAAGAAACAAAAATAACTGAATATTTAAATTTGAAAATGAGTCGAATTCCAAATGAAGTGTAATAAAGTATTAAGTAAAAAGCAATTCCGGGATCTCTGGAGTGATCTTGGAAACTCTTTTCTCTACCCTCAAGTGATTCCGCTGCAAGAAGATCTCACTATTCCTACTACTCAATGGATACAACCAAACTAAAAAATGGTTTGAAGAAAAAAAAAGTAAAAAATCATATTTTCTCGAATACAAATTATTAAAAAAAGAGATGCAAGATCAAACTTCTTCTTTTCCTTGTTAATTTGTCTGACAGAAACTCAAAAACATCGTTTAGCCAGTGTAACGATTAGTATCCCAATAACAATATCAATAACTGCACCGAGCAATGCGCCACAAGCCAAATAAAAACTGTATCCAACCTTAGATTGGATTTTTGATTCCAACTCATTAAAATCGGATATTTTGTTGATAAAATCTATATAATAAAAAATAAATAGCAATGTTTCGACAGAACCTCTGATATAAATCGTCTGAGATCTAATTTATAAATTTTGATATTCTTTCACTCGATCTTTCTGCTACAAATTTGGCATATCAGTTTCTATGACAACAGCCAAAGTGCAGAATCAACAGAATCAAGATGAGCATCCTGACTTCATGGGCAATAACTGGTTTAAGTTTAATTAATTTTAATTTAATATAGAGATCTTGTCCAATAAAATGCTGCTTAATTTATCCATTCTAAATTAAGAGCAAGTCTAAATTTCATTTAGCAATGAAGCAATCCAAAATTTTTATTAAAATAGTAAATATTTGTTTCTATGAGATAATAACAACTGACATAAGCCTGAAAATAAAATTTTAAATTAAAACTTACCAATATCATTTTTGTTATCGATGCCATAAAGAATAACAGCTATGGACAATAAAATAGTAATGATAGTGGCAAAAACTGGCAGTGGTTGAATTAAGCAACTTTTGCAGCAACAGGCAGCTATAGATAAAATTGTCCAAATAACAGTTACAATTTCGACGATCAAAGCTAGGCACATCGCAGCAACGACAGCTTTATCCGATAATAACAAATTCTAAATCATTTATGCTATGTCTATGAAAAAGCTTATATTGAATATCGGGGAGAATATTTTATTTTAAATAGGAGTGGTAAATATCATAATAGTAGCAATAGAATTGAGTACAATACATAAATTTCGAATATCGGTGGATATCGTAATGACGATAGATACGACTTCATTCTCCTAGCTTTTGGCCATAACCTATTTCGACAATTTTTAGAATTCAAGAAATAGTATAGCAAGGTCACTGTAACATATTGATAACAATAAATAACCATATTTATTTACAACTAAATTATGGATAATACATTCCTCTTTTTATTGCCTGCGCCGGTCCGAGTTAAATGGTTGTATTTCAACATGGTCCTCTGGAATTGAAGTGTTAGAGGTGTTCGATTTGGTTTGATCCTCGATTATCTGTATTTATTTGTTGACCAAATGTATTTAGCAAAATATTCATTATATCACTTGTTTGATTTGAAATGCAATTGTATTTTACATTACAAATCATTTTTCCTGATTTCCACTATCTTTCTGATACATTAAAAATTTAAAATTCTCGCTGATTTCTGAAAATGATATGATATGATAAGTTTTGCGTTGTATGTCGTATGTCGAAATGTCATTCCATACTTTTATTTGATAATCGATTTCTCGGCAATACAAAACGTTCCTATTTTTCGCCCCATTAATACTTCTTGTGATTAGATAAAGCGGTATTTGGTGTGCTTTTATAATATAATTAAAAATTTTGTTGTTACCATATTTTTTAAATGCATTGGAAAAACGTTTTACATGACCATTGGACTGAGGGTGGTAAGGTAGCTGAACTAATACAATTTTTTCATAAAATTTTCAGATTATATGTGCGTACTATGCCCTCTTATCTAAGATCTTCAGAAATTTCCATATTCCTCAAAAATTTATTATATATGGAAGAAAAATTATTTTTGAAACTAATATATGATTGGACGCATTTCTGATTCGTACGAGAAAGCAACAGTAACTAGTAGAAAATGTCGTCTTCTTACTGTTCCTCTTACCAGTGTCGAGCTTGAATCTTACTGGTTTTCCATTTAATTGAATTTCGACTGTTTCTTTTCTAGTTTTCCAGATTCCATTTCTATTCTTCAATTATTTATGTATAATTAATTCAATAAACCATATTCTAAAGCAAATTGAATTATTAACTGTATTAATATTAATATTATAAAAATATTCTGTGGTTTAATTTCATTGATCACGACGTAACAACGCCTCAGTTTTTGATGAAACGACAAAAACCTTCAAGCCCAAATCTTTTAAGTTTCATGATTGCGAAATATAATTTTCGGACATAGGGCATTTCTCCAGATAACCAGCAGGGAGTTTTCGAGGTGTCTTGCAGGCTGTTGTGGTTCGATGCTTGATTAATATGGTTTTTGCTGTATTCCACTTTTAACACTGTCGATTCCCATTTTTATTCATTCCATGAAACTTTTTGATTGATTTTCGTCCTCTCAGTCTGTCGTTATGAACTAAGCTAAGATATCGATTATATTCTTGAATCAGCTAATGAATAGTGGAGATTTTTATGTGAAGTGGGATTTTAGTTTATTTTGCATATAGGCTTATAAATCTAAACCTTCCTAAACCTTTTGTGACATTAGGTTCGATCTTTTGAAGTAATTTTGTGCGGATATTGGCATTTTCTGAAGACTGAAATTCACAAAAAAATGATTGCATTTTTATAAGCATTTCCATCATGAGTCGCTGTCGCATTACTGCTTGTGCTACCGCTTGGCTAATACTCCATCCGTGCATATTTTGATATAATAAATCCACAGAAAGAGAAAAATTTTAAAAAGGTATTTTAAAAAACTGTCGTCAAAATACATTTGCATTTATTATATTTCAACTTCAGTAGTCATATTATAAGTATGTGCGAATTTAATTTTATCTGCGAACGCCAAAATTTATCTGTGAATTGTCTATGATTTGCCGAGTGGTTAAATTTGGTTAAACTGAATATAGGAGAGAATGTTTTATTTGAAATAGTATGTAGTAATTGCAGTGATATATAATTCAATTCGATCATGCAGCGCAGTCGTATGCGATGATACATGTCCCATTCCTCAGATTTTCATGAGTTTTGGTCTTTTCTGGAGTTATGTAAAAACGAAATAGTATAACAAGGTTGTTGCGAAATGCAAATAACAATACAATAACTATATATAGGCTATACCAAAATAAATTATGGATTAAAGCTAAAGAAGATAAAGATAATATGGTAGATAATAATATGGTAGACATAAATAAATTATATATTGAAAATTAAAAATATTATAATTCCCTCCGGGATGAAAAATTAAGACTTGGGAAATTCCTTTCAGTTTTCAAAATGATAATCATATACAAGAAGAGTAAAAATAATTTTGATTAGTCGCAAAACTTACCTCCCACCATTGCTTGCAATATGCAAAACCAACTGATGTTGTATTAGTTATATTGGCATTCGGCATTTGGCAGAAAAATGGAAATATGCCTAAAGTTTCGGGGATTTCAAGTTTCTTTAAATTCTCAATATTGAAGCCACTTTCAGCGCTGAACTGTTTCCAACCTAAATTGCAAAATCATCCTTTAAAAAGAAATTTCATTCTATACTTATAATCTATTCAAATAATATATAATTCGTAATTTTGGCCCATGACCCTCATAAATGAACTATGATCTCAACAGTACTAATTTTTAGAATACTAGCATATTTATTTGAAAATTTCATTCAGCTGATGTAACTTATTTTTCATATAAATCTCATTTTTTTATTCTTATGCTATATACTTATTTATACTTATTAAATCTAATTAATTTTAAAATATAAATCTAATTTTTGCTTAACAATTTATGTAATCATTTTATTTCCTTACTGGCTCGTTTCAGATTATAATATTATAATATTACAGATTATAATACTCCCTTTGATATTTATTATCATATATTTTATTTTTATTTATTTCTCATTTTATTATTTTTCATTTTCATTAAATCTTAGTTTTTCCAAAATTATTTTTTTTAGAATTTTGAGCTTGTTTTTTCAGAAATAAAATGATAAATGCATGGATAATAAAAGAAATGATTAAGATTTTTAAGACCGAAAATTTCAATGAAAAATCGTAAACCTGGTGTAAACATTGAAGCCAATGTTAAGCCTAAGCTGCCGGCCATAATTATTCCAAAGAGTATTTGTCCAAGAAAAGACAAACACATTACCGAAAATTTCCTACAAAAATCTGGTTCCTTTCTAAAAATTTTAATTGCATAAAAAAATGGAAAAATTTTAACAATTGGTACGTGTCATCACTTAGAAAAATCAGATATTAGCAAAAACATTTATTTATAAGACATCAGTGATTGTTTCGACTAAAATCAAGTACCATGGCTTCCATTCATGTTCCGTGATGGGAATATATTTAGAAATGAGTGGTGCTTCGGAGGTGCCTATTTCTGCTTCTATCGCTGTGCCGCTGGCAAAAGGGCTGTAATAGTTCATAAATCTAGCCGAAATGGAGATTGTAAATGCTGCTAAAACAAATGGAAGAATTTAGCATTTATTCAGACTCTGATGGCTAACAAAAGCAAATTTTGCATGAATAGGCACTGACCCAAACAATTATTTGAACAAGCACTGCTCGAAGAATCAAATTTTTTCAAACAAACCACGCTGAATTACGATTTATTTATTTTTTTCACCATCTTGATCAAACGTAGTCAAAATAACTATTTTTAATGCTAAATTTTTTAAATAATTATTATTGAACAAACATCAAATTCTCATTTTCCACTATACTAATGATAAATGTATTTTCTCCTCGATAAACGACTCTCATAACTTTGGCTCGCAGTAATGAGAATATAAAAAATAATATTAATAAACATGAACGTATGCTATACATTAAGTGAAATTCATATAAATCTATTTAAAAGTGGATTTATTTTTAAAAAATTCGCCACAAAGAACGCTTCATGTTTATGCCGTGAGCTATAAAAATGAATGCAAATAATTTTTTTTATGCCGTTTATGCCGTAAGCTATAAAAATGAATGCAAATAATTTTTTTTATGCCGTTTATGCCGTGAGCTATAAAAATGAATGCAAATAATTTTTTTCTAAACATGGTTTTCTTCGAATAATTCTTTTTCATATTTTTAAATGAAATTGCATGAAACACCATTGGCAATTTCACGTTTTGGTCTCTTTTACTAATTTATCCCTTCTACTTTTCACCAGTTAGAATAATAGTGGATAAAAATGAAGTACCATCTTTTTCACAGATTTCAACAAGTTAACTAAGCAATGTACATGTACAAATATATCATTTTTATACCACTTTTCTCTAATTTCTTCTCTCCTTTTTTTTCCAATACCTTACACTCTACGTTAAATTAAAAAAATAAATGAAGAAAAAATTAGTACTAATTAATTAGAAAATTAATAAAGAAAAAATTAGTAAATTACGGCGAATTAGATGAATTATATAATTAAATGAATGAAAAAAAAAAGGAAAATTAACGAAAATTGAAGAAAAATTTTAATGAAAAAATAGCTAATATTTTAAAAAGAATTATGCACTTCAATAATACGAAAACTGCGTACATTAAAATATTATTAGTAATAATAATAATAAAACAGATGTATTTGTCGCGGAAATAATTCTTTTTATGATAGTCAAATGTCATCACTAACATTCTATATTTGTACAAATAAATCGTTGGGTGTTTACAAAAACTGAAAACTAAAATTTAAGTATAATAAAATACATCATTTATAAAAAAAGAGATCGTAGAGAGAAAGAACCTTGTAAATCTGGCTGGCTCTACTTACTTCTAAGATCCTTTCATAGAGTTACTGAGTTTTGGTCTTCGTCATCTTGAGTTATTTTCTCTATTTCTATTTCGAGAGCCTTTAAGGTGCTGTGGCCTCTTAGATTAAAATCGACAAATCGACAATATTGAAATATTGAATTTCATTAACTAGATTGACTAGATGATTTTGGTTGCAATGGCTCGAGAGCTTCATTTCATTAATAAAATGATCATAATGTCGTCGGTAATGAGAATTGAATCGATCTATTGCTCCGATTAAAGGCAAATATTATCAATGGCTGTTGCTGAGGTTATCTATCAAGCATTATGCTCTCAAGCTCTCAGCAGGAAATATCCGAGTAGGTACTCTATGCTCAAATGCTTCTCGTTAAATTGCTATCCACTGACGAGCATAAAGGTGTTATTAAACATAGAACTTGGTTACTTTATCTTTTAATAACTTGCAATATCTCATTGCTCCTATTCTCAAACTACTTTTTAGCGAAAGAATCTTGTCTTAGTAGTTAACAACCAAAATTACGGAATACAAAAGTTGTTATATGCAAATAATTGATTTGGCGCATAAGGTGCTTGAAGTCTTCATTCTTATATTTATTATTGGCAATATAATTTAGTTGAACAATCTTCCTTAAACAATTTTTTGAAGGCGAAGTACCGAAATGTTAATTCCTCTAAAATGCAATAGAATCCGATGATAAACTAAAAGTTTTACAATCTTAAATGAATTGTAGTATTTTTTTTTCTAACCGCCTACTGCTGGTTTCGCTTACTGGGGCAATGCCCGCTTCCAAGTTGCTCGATGTGGTTTTTAGGAGTAACATATTCTGTCATGTCGATAGGCCGCACTTATATTTAAAATCTCTTCTGACTGTATCAGTCCATGCTTTGCTCCTCCTCGCTTTTGGCATCACCCATCACAAGATTTAGCAAGTAACGAAATATGCAATAACCTCTTGGATAGATAGAGAAAAACATGGCCGGAATAGGCGATGGGCGACAATCGACAATCTACCGCAATCAATAATCGAATATTCTAGGATGTCAGATATTAATTCAGATGGATGGAATATTGAAGGTGGATTTTAAAAATAATCATTTTATCATAATGTGATATTTTATCCGCGAGCATTAAAATATATCTTAATCCTGTGTCTGATCGATCTATATCAAAACGAAAATTTAAAATCCGGTTAACCAAAATTCCAAAAAATAGAAAAAACTGTAAAAACCATAGGAAAAACACCTTCAGTTTTTTCTAAAAGAAGTTCAGAACATTCCTAAGATTTCTCAAGACCCGGAAAAGAAAACCACACGAACTTCATAAATATTGAAAATTCCTGAGATATTTGAGAAATTTCTGATTCATTAGTTTCAGTTTTCCTTCATTCGGAAATTTTCGGAATATTGTGCAGCTCCTTTTCTCAATATCTTCCTTTCCCATTGTTTCACAGCTATATAACAAAATGGTACTTAACGTAACTAAATATACGGACTTTTATTTTGATGGTAATTTCACGCATAGCTGTATTGTAGAATATCAATTCTTATTTCGAAAGGATCTGTCAAAACTCCCAAATCACAGAAATCTGTGCCAATATATCGTAATGCATTATGAGTTGGATGATTTTTTCTGGAATATATATTCCATAATCTTCTAAAGCGCGGCTGTATCGGTTCAATAAAGCAATAGCAGTGGTTGCAGATATTTGAAATGTTTTGGTATAAATATTTAGTCGGTACACAGTCATTCAGAAACCAGCTTGGTTAGGGCGAATCCTATTTCTTAGTATGGTTAATTTATCACAGCATATCCATCATTCTTCTTGATGATTAAGAGCAAAATTGCTTTGCTCCAGTTGAATCGTTTTGGATAATATTTGAAGACTTCAGCTCGAAGACCGTTTTCTCTTGAAATTTTATTAGTGTTAAGCTTTTAAATGAAAAAAATTTCACTGTTCCAGCTAATTCTAATGGAAGATGGCTCATCGAGGTTAAGCTTAATTCGTCCATCGAGATGAGCCTTAACAGGCACATCATTATTATCACAGATTATTTCACTATTTCTTGAATCATGTTTCGTAAAGATTGCGGAATAATTTCCTGTTATCACCTGCATGCAGGCATTTTCATGTTCAGGGAATTCCTTAGAACTGGAATACTGAAACTCCTAAAGCAGAGAGAAAAAACCTTCTTTTATCAAAAAATATCAAGACATATCTTCAATGAAAATTTTTGTTATTGATTATAGAAATCCTGTTGCACCATCAACACCACCTTGAAGGAAAAATTGACTATTGAGAGTATGATTCGACTCCTTGTTTCTTAGAACGGCAGTCTGAGTTGTCATCCACTTCCCTATCCTACCGTTCATTTCTAGAGAATATTAAACTTAAGTATAGTTGGTATATAAATACGAATATTTATGCCTAATACGAAAATTTTCAGAAAATTTTGGCATACAGATTTCAAACTTACTTGAATGAGCAATTAATTTCCGGTAATTCATGCATACCCGAATTTAATGCATTGGTTATCAGGTAAGATATCCAACCATTTATAAAAAAAATATAAACAAAATATGAAAAATACAAATAAGAAAAATGAAAATTTCATACTATGGCGCTATTGATCTTTTTGCTTACAACGGCAATTTGAAATGTGGATTTTTATTTAGTTATTATGAATTTTCGAGTGGAAATGAGAAACAAATATAAAAATATAGAAAAATATAAAAAATGATAATTTATTCTAATATTTGATATAAAAATATTATTTGCTTAATTATTTATTATTAAATATTTTAGAAATAGATTCCTTCCAGGCAGAGAGAATCGATAAAAATAAAAAAGTTATTGATAAATATTCCTGAAAATTATAAAGCTTTTAATTAATTTATTTGAATAGAATCGTAAAAACCTAACAACGGCACATATCGGCTTTTTTTATTGGCAATTTATATTAGAAGTATAATATAAATAATATAAATTTATTGAAAGAGTCGCAGAGCAGAAATAGAGAGAAATAAATTTCACTATTTATTGAAAGATATACAGGATTTTTAAGAAAAAAGATAAGATAAAAAACTATTTTTTCCTAAGGACAATATTTCTTGGCATTTCGATCAAAATAACTGCAAAAAATAAAAGCACGATGGTTCATAGATGCTTTTGCATTGTAAGTTGAATTTGTTCGACTGTGCATTTTTAAATGAGGAAACAAATAAATTATCTATCTATTCAATTCAAGAAATCCGAAAAAATAAGTTTATCAACAAAGAGTTTTTACTTTTCACTTAAAACGTGAGATCCAAATTATCCAAATTTTGCAGCATGAAATTGCGACATTTGGCAATAGATTCTAATTCTAATGTCGCTGACTATTAGG